TCGCTCGCGCCGCGCCCCCCACCCAGCCCAGCCCGCGAGCCCCGGACGCTTTACCAGGAGCCGGCCCCGCGCCCGCCCACCGGCCGGGCTCCACCTGCCGTCCCCGGCAGCGCCCAGAGACCCCTAATTGGCTGCGGGAGCTCCCCGGCTCCGCCCGTCGCCGCAGGGTACTCTGGAAACTGTAGTCCCTGCGCACCTCGCGCCGCAAATCCCTGGCTGGGCTTTAGAGAACTGATTGTTGTCAGTGCCGGGAAGGTGAACCCGCAGTAGCTCATGGAATCTGCCCCGCAGCTACCCTGCGAGGCTATCCTTCTCGCCCCCTCTTTTCCGACGGGGACGTCCGGCGCGCGAGGTCGCTTGCCCCGAGGCACACATTTTGGCTGCCGATCCGCTGCGGGTTCCTCGGCGCGGTGCTGCCTCCTAGTGTGCGAGATGCAGCGCCCTAGCAGCCGCCGTCGGTCCCCAGAGGCCCGGTCTCCCCGCTCGTTTCCTGCTTTCCGGGGGTTCCCCGCACTACGATCCATAAACCTGCCAGGATCCGAGGGCTGGGAGAGAGAGCTCCTTTGGGGCTTATGTATTTCAGGCTTCATGATGGGTTCGCAGATCCATATGCATATTAAGTAAAAAAAAACTTTCTTATTCTTAATTTCCCAATTTATAAAAAGATGAACGCATTTCAGATCAAACTAGTCTTTTTTGACCACCGTCATCCTCGATATTGGCCGTTTGGCTCACTTCACTGCCACCGTTACCTGTCGGTGTCCTATAGAAGGTTATAAAATGCTTTTATCTGAATCTACTAGGTCGGTTCCCTACGGAGAGTGCGGGGCGGGGGGGGGGAGAGGCAGCCTGCAAGGCCTATTATGGTAACCCTCCCTCATAAACAAGTTGAGTCTCAGCGAATGTCACGCTCCAATAGCCCCCACCCCCAGAGAACGTCAAAGTTGAGGTGTTTTCGCCCCTTCCTCGTACATTGTTCAAAAATATCCCTTGAGCAGCGTCCAAACAACGAATGTAGTGTTAAATTGGGAAAGCCCTGTAAAGAAGCCGGCCATGCTGATGGTGGTCTGTGCAAAGGGTACCCTGACTAGAGGTTGCCAAGCAATTCAAAATGTTCCCACGACTGAAGAAGTGCTTGGAATTTTAGAGGGTCTTCTTTATCATTAAAAGAAGGAAATGCAGCGCAAGAGTGCTCTCACTGTTTCAGCCCTGATTAAACCTCCCTGATCAAGCTAAAAGGTAAGTCTTCCATTTGTTTCAGACCATTTGACAGCTATATGGAGGGGGTGCTGGAACCAAAAGGGTTGCTTCCCCCCTGGGAGACGGAGGCTCTGACTTCCCCGGAAGCTGTAGGTCTGGAGGTGGGGCTGGGAGTCAGAGGGCTCTGAGCAGCCCTGACAGCTCTAGAAAAAAATGAAATGAGAAATAAAAATAGAGAGGCTCGTTCAAAAACATTATGTTAAGTGAAAGAAGCCAGACACAAAAGACCACGTGTTGTATGATTTCATTTATGTGAAATGCGTAGAAAAGGCAAGTCCATAGAGACAGAAAGTAGATTAATGGCTGCCTGGGGCTGGGTGTGTGACATGGGGATTAACTGAATTAACAATGAGAAATCTTATTGGTGAAATGAAAATATTCTAAAATTGGATTGTGGTGACGATTTCACAGTTCAGTAAATTTGCCAAAAAATCACTGAATTATAAGCCTTTACTTTTGTAAATGGGTAAATTTTATGACATGGAAATTATACTACAGTAAATTGTAAGAAAAACACAGGGTTCAACAGAACCAAAGCTGCTACTTTGAAATAACTAATAGACAAGACTAACCAAAGAAAAAGAGAAAAAAGAGCTGGCAAGAGAAATAAAAAATATTCACCAGAAGAAATGAAAATGAAAAGGGGAGCATAATATTAGATACTGTAGAGATTTGGAAAATCATAAAAATTCTTAAACAGGACTTGCAGAGGGAGAGAACATACATAGAATTTTGGGGTGGGGGAGGGAGGTCAGGGATTAATTGAGTGGGGGACATAGGGAATAATCACAATTTGTGGTAATTGGCATGCTGATAGTATTGATCTGACCATCATATCGTGGGCATAGGTGGTGACAGTCAGCTTTGTACCCCATGAATATGCATAATCAATCAATCAATCAATAAAGGCCAAACACTGATTTTTTTTTTTTTTCCTTTTTGTCTTTTTTCGTGTCCGGCAACGGATCGCAACCCTCAGTGTCGCGCCCGCACCGGACCAGGACCGGCAACGGGATCGCAACCCTCGGCGTTGCTCCCACACCTCGCTCAGCCAGTGAGCGGGAACCGGTCTGTATGTGGGATCCGAACCCTCGGCAGGAGCGCCACCACGCTCCCAAGCGGCGCACTGTAGCAGTGCGCCACCGGGACGGCCCAAACACTGATTTTTTTTAAAAATCTTAAATTTATATGCATAAGTTTTAATTTATATGAAATGGGTAATTATCTAGAAGAAAATATAAATGATAAATGATATGTAAAAGATAAGTAATTTCGGGCCGGCCCGGTGGCGCACTGCTACAGTGCGCCGCTTGGGAAGTGCGGCGGCGCTCCCGCCGAGGGTTCGGATCCCATGTGCAGACCGGCGGCTCACTGGCTGAGCGAGGAGCGGGGGCAACACCGAGGGTTGCGATCCCATTGCCGGTCCCGGTCCGGTACAGGCGCGACACTGAGGGTTGCGATCCATTGCCGGTCACGAAAAAAGACAAAAAAAGACAAAAAAAAAAAAAAAAAGATAAGTAATTTCTGTAAGAAATAGAAAACCTAAGTAAATTAATAACCAATAATGAAATCGAATCAATAATCAAAAATCTGCCTCCACTGAAGGACACCACCAGGTCTATGTGGTTTTACAAATAATTTCTTTCTTTACATAAATTCTTTAAGAAGAAAGAAAATGAAGGAAATCTTCCCAACTCATTTTATGAGATAGGTTTTAATCCAACCAGATAAAAGACAGTAAGAGAAAATTGCAGACTAGTCTCACTTATGAAATAGGCGGGGGGGGGGGGGGATAAGTAAAATACTAGCAAGATGTAACAAGAGGTGAATAAAAATAACATGACAAGAAAGGTTTATCCGGGAATAAAAGAATAATTCTACATCAGAAAATTTACTAATGTGGGCCAGCCCCATGGCGTACTCAGGAGAGTGCGGCGCTGGGAGCGCAGCGACGCTCCCGCCGTGAGTTCAGATCCTAATAGGAATGGCCGGTGCGCTCACTGGCTGAGCGCGGTGTGGGCGACACCACACCAAGGGTTGAGATCCCCTCACCGGTCACGAAAAAGACAAAAAAAAAAAAAAAGAAAGAAAGAAAATTTACTAATGTAAGACACTGCATTGGCAGAGTAAAGGAGAAAAATCACATAGTCTTAATAGTCAGAAAAAACATTTGACGTATTCTTAGGTTGGATTCCCCCAGACACTGACTCTTGAGACAAGGGATTGAGTGTAAGTAGTTTATTTGGTAAGTGATACAAGGAGGTGCCAGTAGGGAGATAAGACAAGCGAGGATGCCCTTTGGAGCTGATTACTGCTCAATCCCACTGAGAGCTCTGGGGTCAGAATATAACAAATTTTAGAGTCAGACTACCTGACAGGTAAGATAACTGAGAGATTTCCCCCCTAAATCCTATTTGTCCTTGGCTAAGGGCTGCTCCCCAGGGCATTAATTCCTCAGCACTTCCAGCCTGCGCTTGGTTGAGGGTAAAGAGGACATCTGCAAGTCCATATCAAGGAGCCTTTGTACAGCTCCTGCTGCAACAATCCTTGCATTTCTTATTTCTTTTCCTTTCCTATAGCATTTCCTAGGATCTCTACTTTATGTTAAATAGTAACAGTGAAAATGGGAGTTCTTGTCTTGGTCTAATATTTAATAAAATAGGGTTTAATGTTTCTCCTCTAAGTGTGATGTTTACTAAAGGATTTTGGCAAATAGTCTTAATACAAAAATTAGTTCCCTGCTATTCTTAATTTGCTAATAATTTTTATCATAGCTCTGGAACTTTATTAAATGTCTTTTCTTCCATTTATCAAATTAATCATATGATTTTTCTCCTTTCATCTGTAAATGCAGTGAATTTCATTGATCAAAATACTCTTGCTGCAAGCCCATTTACAATAGTTGCTAAAAAAACTTAAGTATCTGAAAATAAATTTAACCAAGGAGGTGAAAGATGTCTACAACAAGAACTACAAATTATTGCTTAAAGAAATTAAAGAGGACACAAAAAGATGGAAAAACATCCCATACTCTTGGATTGAAAGAATTAGCACTGTGAAAATGTCCATACTACCCAAAGCTATCTACAGATTCAATGCAATCCCTATCAAAATACCAATGACATTCTTCACATAAGTAGAAAAAACAATCCTAACATTCATATGGAACAACAACAACAAAAAGAAAAATCCACATAGCCAATGCAACCCTGAACAACAAAAAAAATAAAGCTGGAGACATAACACTACCTGAGTTCAAATTATACAAAGCTATAGTAATCAAAACAGCACGGTACTGGCATAAAAACAGACATTCAGACCAATGGAACAGAATAGAGAACCCAGAAATCAGCCCACCTACTAACAGCCAACTGATCTTTCACAAAGGCACCAACAATATATATTGGGGAAAAGACTCCCTCTT